AGGGGCCTCTGGAGCAGAAAAGAGATCAGCCATCACATTGGAGCTGAAGGAGGGACTCAGGACACCCGAGGTTGATGCAGTTCCAGACAAAGGAGGCACTTTCAAGTGAGCCCTCCCAAAATGCCGGGTGGGGAAGCGCAAAGCAAGGCATAGACCAAAAGGCATAGACCATGGGCTGAGACTGGCCAGCTGTTCCCCACACAGTTTTCCTTTCTTGCTGGGCTGAACTACATTTCCCATCATCCCTTGCACTTCAATGTGGTCATGTGATTGTGTTCTGGCCAATGGCATTTGGGAAAGTCATAGCTTCCTGTTCATTAAAACCTCCCACAAGACCCTCTCCCCTCTCTCCATCTGCCTGCAGGACGTCAATGTCCACGGCAACTTGGATACTATGGCAGAGCCCCATAGCATGATGTGTGGAGCACAGTACACCACCTCCAGTCGATTGGACTTTATATGACTGATAAGTAACTTCTATTGTATTAAGTCATTATCTGTTGTTGTGGGTTATGTAGTTAGCCTACTAAAGTACTAAGTAATACAAGTTAAGGATAGAATGGGGGCTGCTGGGCTAGAGGGGACTGAGTAGCATTTTGATTAGGAGCTAGGACATCCATTTCTGTCAGCTCTTACGGTTCTAACTCTGTGAGTTACGGAGGTAGTTTTTAGTTGAACTGAACACGTGACCCTATGGACTCTTACATCTAAGCCATGTCACAGAAAGCAGACTGCCACGGGAGGCCACCAGGATGGCTGCAAAGCTTCTGCTGAGCCAGGGTTTCCTGGGGGCTAAGAATAAACCAGAGACGCAGAAATTCTGGCACAAGGAGCCACCCAGGCGGTGCCGGCTCTAGGCTGACTGAGCGGTCAGCCAAGAACCGGGCCAGCGGTCAGTGGGTGGGGCCAGGCAAAGGCCTGAGCTCCCCTTGGCCCCAGGACCTGGTGGCTCAGCACATCTGGGAATATCCATTTCCCCAGGTGCTCACCTCAGGCAGGAGGGCAGAAAGTCCGGCAAAGCCACGAGTGATTTCTGTATAGCCACAAGTGCAGAAACATGGGGACACTGGGCCCCCGACATCCCTGCTTCCTGTAGAGGCTGGGGTCCCTGGCCAGTGCCCTCCACGGGGGCCAGGGCACGAGAGTCCCTCACGAGCCCAACGTTCTCTTGAAGGAGGCTCAAGAGTTTGGTGCCTCTTAGTTTTGGAGGAGTGGTGAGGCTGGTGGTAGCTCATGCCACCGGTGGGGCTCTAAGGAAGAAAACTCATGGTCTTAGTGCTGAAGGAAGGGGGAACGTGTAGGTGCATGAGATGCCCTGGGCTGAAGCTTGGGCAGAACTAGGGGAGGACATGGATTATGCCCCCCCTCATGCCAACAAGAGGGGAAGGTGATGTTCAGCCAGTGCCCACCTGCAGGAGCGAACGTGGTGGTTTACAGCTATGTCCACTGTGACTGGTGCCTGGGCAGTGTCTTCAATATCGCCTCCATCAGAGGGGTCCCTCTGGTCCCTCTCTCCATCTCTCACCTCGCTTCTCCCTGCAGTCAGGGGCAGTGGTGACCGGTTGTCCTGCTTGTGACTGGGGACCTCAGTCGGGGCCATGGCCAAAGGAAGCCCATGTGGCCTCTGGTCCGTGCCATATGCTCCCGTCCAGCTTTATCAGCCAATCAGTTGCTGTTGAGTTGACCCCAACTCACGGTGACCCCATTGCCAGAGTACAACTGTGCTTCATGGGGTTTGCAAGGGCCGATTTTTCAGAAGTAGATAGCCAGGCCTTTCTTCCAAGGTGCCTCTGGGTGGACTCAAACTACCAACTTTTTGGTTAGCAGATGAGTGCATTAACCATTTGCACCACCCAAGACTCCTTACCAGCCATAAAGCTCACATTTTGATACTCGGGCGCCTATATCCATTTCTTCATTGTTTCAGAATGTAGAGGGAGTGGTTAGTGGGCTTCTTAGAACCTTCCCCTGGCCCCCAAGCAGCTTGGGGTCTCTGAGGCTATTCTGTTTTGAAGACAGGTCTGGCTTGGCTCAGCTGCCCAATGCCCACACCACACCTGGGGGGAAGCTTGTCTATCTTCTGGCTCCCCTGTGAAAAGACACCCAAACCCACCACTCAAGAGTCTAAATCAAGCCAGTGGTACTGGGGAGGTGGCCAGTGACCCAAATAAAATCAGAGACGTTTCCTCCAGAGAAACCTGACCTTGACGCGCACAGATCCAAATACTCTCCTTCCTTCTACCCTCTTTCTCCCAGAGGGTCTCCAGCTGCAGGGGCATTGTTTACCCTAAATGCCCACCAAGACTTGAAGGGTGTCGCCCTCTACACACACGTTGGAAGAAAACATTTTAAAAATGTTTTTATTTAATAAAAAAAAAAAAAAAAAAGAACTAACAACCCAAAACCAGTAGTAGGTACAAGATGCACAAGGGTCTTAACTGGTGAAACACACACAGGCTGGAAGGGTCACGGGTTGGGAAGAAGGGGAGAAGGCGGGTACAGGCCACCACATTCCCCCTGATGGGCGAGAGGCCTGAGGCTGACAGCAGGCAGCAGGGAGTCAGCTTGGCTCCCTCGTTGCGGAGCAAGCCCAGGCTAAGATGCAGCGAGGAGGAAGGGTGAACACAGAGGCACGGGCCTCCGGGAGATTGGACGGCAATGGGAGAAAGATTGTAAAGGCCAAAGGGGCTGAGGTTGTTTTGCTCCCTGCTCTTCTGTCCCTCTTTGTCTCTTCTTCCCCTTCTTTCTACTCTTTCCTGGTCCCCAGAATGGGCCCTGTGTTCTCTGCCTGGGACTGGGCAAGAGGTAGGATTCATTGGAACACAGCTTTCTCCATGATGTTCTAGAAGCTTCTGGGGCAGCATGCGGGGAGGTGGCCTGTGTGGAAGAAACAGCAAGGCTGCCTCCCTTTTTGGAAGGAACAGAAGAAAAGTCTCGGGGCCTTGGTGAATGCTGGGTCTACAGATTGTGCTCTCTTCCTTCAGCCTGGATACCCATTGCCGTCCAGTCGGTTCTGACGCATGGTGACCCCATGTGTGTCAGAGTAGAACTGCACCGCATGGGGTTTTCAATGGTTGTGACCTTTCAGAAGTAGATCACCAGGCTTTTCTTCCCCGGCACCACTGGATGGATTTGAACCGCCAACCTTTCGGTTAGTAGCCAAGTGCACACCTTTTGTGCCACCCAGGGACCTTTGGCCTGGATGTGATGGTGTAATGGCAGTGGTGGTGGTGGATGAGGTGAGGAGGGCTGGGAGAAGAGGGGAGGAGGTTGACCTACAGCAAGGGCAGGTGACAGGGATAGGCCCTGATGCTTCAGCCTTCTCTGCTGTGCATGCTTGAAGACGCCACCATACAAAGCCAACCTCAATGGGAGGAAAGGGTCTCGAGCAAGCACAAAGGGGCCCTGGCACACCTCGAGTCAGCTCACCAGTACATAGGGCAGTCAGTTGGAGGAGGTACCAGTGGAGGAGATGTTCTCTCCTGGGTGCAGAGGAGGATGGGAATGATGGTGACGTCATCACCAGACAGAATGGACCCATCTGAACTCCTAGGGGCTGAATCTGCCCGTGGGCTCTGTGAGCAGGTGGCTGAGGTAAGAATTTGCTCGTTGCTTCTAAGTACAACTGCTACCAGGGTCCAGACAACTGTTCAAAATTGGATTAAGAAGTCTCAAAAAGTAAGAAACCATTTATCTTTAGAAAGCACACGTTTTATAGAAAAGAGGGTCAGCTCCGTGTCCAAGAGTGTCTGTCTTCTGAAACCGGCCACACTTCCACTTTGTTTGCTTCAGGAGGGGGAAAAAAATGGTCTAGGGGGGAAAAAGCGAAACCCTGAAGCCACTTCTTCAGTTCCAAACAAAATGCTGGGGCGGAAAGAAAAGCCGGGGCTGCCCTTTCATCCAAACTTCCTCCACCAAGTCCTTTCAGGTGGCAGCAGAATAAATTACAATATTAGGAGTTAGGGGAGGTGTTACTGCTACTTTTTCAGACAAGGAAATGAATGTTTAATAACCACCTACGAAATGGAGATTTCTTTTTGGTCACTGTTCACCCTCAGTTTTCCCTTTTTTTGCACTGAAGTTCAGGCTCCTGATGCCAAACGCCGGTCCGAGGATCCGCCCCTGCCCTCTGCTCATGTGACAGAGGTGCTCCTCGGGCAGCCGTCCTCGGACCTGTGAAGAGGGGCACACAAGAGGCTGCCTGCCTGCCCACCTTTCATCTGACCAGGGAATCCTCCAGGCTCTCAAGTGCAGTCAATGTGTCTTGCCCTTTCTGTACTAGGTGGAAGCTTCCAGAAGCACAAAGGAAAGCCCAGCAACACTCAGAGCCTCCGGCCTTTACCTCACACCCAGACCGGCAAAGGCCTCCTCGCTCTAGGCCTCAGTCTCCTCAGGTTGAGTGAAGCAGCGCCAGGACAGCACAAAGGCCGAAGCACCAGTTGGCTGCAGGGCTCTCTCCTCAGGATCACTGTTTTTCAACAACAGGCCACTGCCAGAAGAAGAGAGAGACAGAGTGGCAGAGAGCGAGCTTCGGTTTTCTCAGTTCTGGTTCAAAGAAGCACAGGTTCAAAAAGCAGCTGACTAGAGTCCAGAGGCCCTCCTTGCGCCCTCTGAAGCCCTCAGGTGGCCCAGCGCCCAGACAGGGAGGGGAGGCCCTGAAACCCCGTTCTTCTGGCAAGATTTGCTTCCAAGAGGAGAGAATGGCTCAATTTTGTTTTCCCAGGTTGGCCAAGGCTACAAAGCCTCAGGAAAGCTCTCGGGGCCTCCTGGGAGGTTCCAGAGTCCTGAGGCATCAAAACACCTTCAGTGGGATAAAGTCGGCCTTCAGCTTCTGTCACAGGCCCCGATTCCAGTCTAAGTCAGCCACAACACCATCTGGGGATCAGGGAGGATTGGGTTTGGCTTCAGTTCATTGTTTGTCTTAAGGATCCGTTGCCCTCCTGTTTGATCCGAACAGCCTTTCTGGGAAGAGGCCGGTATTGAGAGGAAAGGGTGGTGGCTCACACAGGGGTTGTCCGCCGGTTCAGCATGCTGATGTGGAAGCCTTCTTTCAGGTCCTGCTGGAGAAAGTCGTGCACCTGCAGGAAGCTGGCCTCCTGGTCGGGGCTGTAGCTGGCGGCAGTGGTCACCTTGAGTGGCTCCCTGGTCAGCGTGTACATGGACAGCTCGCCCATCGGAATGGCCCCCGCAATCTTCAGGCCCACGGGCGATGCGTCCCTGGAGGGCGAGGCCTCGGTGGACCGCGAGCTGGAGCGCGAGCGCCGTCGTCGATACCTGTAGCTCGGCATCCTGGCGTAAGGAGAAGAGGAAGCGGCCTTAAGGAACTCCCGTTTGGTCTTAAATCTCAGCTCTTTGTTTTTCTCAATGTAAATGTTCACAGCCAGGACGCCCACGGTCTCAGCCACAATAAAGGACAGGGCTCCAAAGTAGAACGACCAGCCGTAGTTGTAGTGGTTTTTCTTGTCTTCGTCTCGTTTGTCACTTGGGTCGCCCGTGTTGCTGGAAATGTAGACGATGATGCCGATGATGTTGCTGAGGCCTGAGAGGGAAGTGGGTGGGGAGTGGGGGAGGTGGGAGTGGGGGGAGGGAGAGAGACAGAGGTTAGACCCACAGCGGGACCGACAGATAGGGAACAGGAAGTCGGAGGAGAGCCTGTGGTCTTCCCCCTCCCCTTGACGAGTACCTCTTTATTCTGGTTGTTAATTTTCCTTTTAATTAATTAAATTTGATTGGGTGATATAAAGCAAAATTCAAATGAAGAATGTAATAAAACGCAAGTCTCCCAACCACTCAGTTCCCTTCCTGCAGGCAGCACTGTTACTTCTTTCTTATATCCTTCTGGAGAGAGTCTCTGTTTCACACACACACACACACACATGAATGCGTACACACATATTTTTTTGTTCCCTTACATGATGCTCTTTGGCCCCTTGCCTCTTCACCTGAGAGATGGCTCTGTATCAGGACGTGAAGAACTGCCTCTGTCTTTCTAATTGCACCTGCCAGCCACCATATGGACGTCTCACTATCTGCTACAGATTGAATTTCGTCCCCGCAAAAGATACGTTATGTCCTAACCCGTGTACCAAGGAGCCTTGGTGGTGCAGTGGTTAAGTGCTTGGCTGCTAACGGGAAGGTCAGCGGTTTGAACCCACTAGCTGCTCTGCGGGAGAAAGATGGGGCAGTCTGCATCTGTAAAGACTACAGCCTTGGAAACCCTATGGGGCAGTTCTACTTTGTCGTATAGGGTTGTTATGAGTCGGAATCGACTGGATAGCAGTGGGTAACCCCTGTACCTGTGAACGTGGCCCTGTCTGGAAATAAAATCTTTGAAGATGTGAGTTAACACGAGGTCATACTTGGAGGGGCAGGGGTGATCCTAAACCATCATGAGCGTGACCTTATAAAAGAGGAGAGACACAGAACAAAGAATACCATGGGCTCTGGAGGCTGACAGCCCTTTGCCACTGTGTGACTTTGGTCAGGTCACTTGTTGCCCTGGGCACCTAGCACAACTTCTGGGGTTAACATGTGGTGGTTGGGTTAGAGTAATTCTTTTCTTGCAAAACAAACTCCAGGGCAGTATTCAAATGTCACAACAGGGACTTCCTTAATGGTTCACACCTTGAAAAATCTGATGGCTTATTAAAGGAGGCAGGTGGGAGGAGGAAGAGGAGAGAATGGAGTGTGTCCCTCCTGCCCACTGCTCTCTGCTCAGCCCCTCCACCCTGGCGTGACTGATCTCTGCTCTGGGCTGCGGTGAAGAGAAGGGACAGGAGGGGAAGAGAAGGGAAGGGTGTTGGCAGCCTGGTGAGGAGGGCGATTCCTGCTTCTTCCCAAGTGGAGAACAAGGGCAGGAGCTGCTGAAGGAGACCCTGAACACAGGCTCCCTTTACCAACACACACACAACACACGTACACACACACTACACTCCTCAAATATACACACACACCACAATACACGTACACCACACTCCTCAGACATACACTACACACACCCACACACACACCCCACTCCTTAGACACACACACCATATACATACACAAACCCACAAACCACACTCCTCGGACACACACACCACATACATACACAAACCACAGGAGCTCAGGCTGGCCTTCTCTGAGCCAGTGCAGTGCTACTGCACCAGTCTGGTGCAAGAAAAAAAGATGCTCTGAAAGCAAAAACACTGTTGGGATGGGACAAGGAGCTATGATAAGAATTGAGGAAATAATTACTGAGCTTTGTAACATTTTTCCCATTTACTTACTGAAACGAGGCCTAAGAAGTCATGTGGCTCCTGCCTTTCCCAACAGAGATCTCTGTTGTACTTTTATCTGAATGCCACGTGTGCTGCCAGAATCTTCAGGATGTTTCTAGCTGAGCGCCAGCATCTCACTGACCCTCCCAGAGTTAGAAAAGGGCTTTGCCGCGACAGGCATCCCCCTCCATGCTCTCCCAGCAACTCAAACCAGAAAACCTTGCGCCTACACTGAACTGTGTACTGACCGCTGGACTATGTACTAATTGGCTGAGAGCTGCTAACTGGCCATTCCCCAGCTGTGAGCCCCACCTCGGCCTCGAATTTTTCCACGTCTGCAGTAGCAAGGCTCACATTCATTTGCCTCTGCTGAGGCTCAGAGGAGCCGGCAGTGTTCAACCATTTTGGAGTGGTTGTTGTTAGGTGCTGTTGACTCAGTTCCGACTCATAGCGACCCTATAGAACAGAGTAGAACTACCCCACAGGGTTTCCAAGGAGTGGCTGGTGAACCTTTTGGTTAGCAGCCAAGCTCTTAACCACTACGCCACCAGGGCTCCTTTGGAATGGCTACGCATATGGTAAGGTCCCTGGGTAGGGTAAATGGTTTGTAATCTTCCGTAAAGATTACAGCCTTGGAAACCCTATGAAGCAGTTCTGCTCTGTCCCATAGGGTTGCTATGAGTCGGAATTGACTTGATGCCCATGGGTATTTTTTTGTTTGTTTGTTTTCTGGCACCTTATGAGGGCTGTGTCCTCTGCAGGAACACCTGTCCTGTAGCCCCTCACCCTGTCTTTACTGGGACACTCCTTCAAGTCTTGGCCTCACATGACTCCCCCTGGTGCTTCCCTGGCTCAGTCAAACTCCCCTGTTACAGGTGTGCAGAGCACCTGGCACTGCTTTGGGGCACTCTGCACACCTGGACTTCTCAAGTTAATTAACCAACCAGTTTCTATGGAGTTGACTTTGACTCATAGTGACCACATGTGTGTCAAAGTAGAACTGTGCTCCATAGTTGTTTTTGGATGGGCAGTTTTTTGTTGTTGTTGTTAAAAATACACACAGTTATTCACCATTTAAACAATTTCTACATGTACAACTCAGTGACATTGAGACATTGATTACACTCTTCAAGTTGTGCAAACATTCTCACCATCCTTCTCCAGATTGTTCCACCACCAATGACTTAAACTCATTGCTCCCTAAGCTTGTCATCTAACCTTTTAAGTTGCTGTTGTCAATTTGATCTTATATACACAATTCTTTAAAAAAGCACAATGCTCAAGGCAGAATTACTTTACTTATTAAAATAAGCTATTTTTTGGTTCAAAGAAGATTTCAGGGGATAGTTTTGGTTTAAAAGCTAAAGATTATCTCAGGGCAATAGTTTTGGGGGTTCATCCAGCCTCAATGGCTCAAGAAAGTCTGGATTCCATGAGAATTTTAAATTCTGTTCTACATTTTCCCCCCTTTTGATGACAATTCTTCTAGAGACTCTTTGATCAAAACAATCAGTAATGGTAGGCTCTATAGTGTTTTCGATGGCTGATTTTTCCAAAGTAGATTGCCAGGTCTTTCTTCCAAGGTCCCTCTGGCTGGACTCAAACCTCCAACCTTTGGGTTAGCAGTGGAGGGTATTAATCAATTGCATTACCCAGGGACACCTCCAGTCAATTATGCATGGTGATTTCATAGGAATGATACGCTCTCTGGCAGTGGGGACCACATCAAAGGCATTCTTCCCCATGCACCCAGCCCCTGGCCCAGCACTGGCACCCAGGGGGGACAGCCAGAGCAAGCAGGCTTACCTGCAGCCACAAAGAGGATGCCAGCACTGAGGACGATGTTGTTCTTGCGGCTGTAGATCCTCCCGGCGCCAATGCAGAGCCCCCCGAGCAGGAGAAGGATGGTGCTGAGGATAGGAAAGACGCTGGAGGCACGCACGATGCCTGGGCCAGGCAGGAGACAAAGACAGAGGGCAGTGAGACTGGCTGCCCGCCAGGACACGCAATGGACATTCCCAGGAGCCCTGAAGCTCGTGGCCCTTCCCCTGGATTTGAAGATTCCCATCAGGACTTGCAGATGCGTGGAGGGGCAGGATCTGGGGCAGGGTGGGGGCAGCTGGAGCCCATGCAAGTGAAGCTTCAAGCTTGCTGTTCACTCTCCCCAGTGCCAAGTGGAGGAGCCACATCTGCCCACATCTCGCTTAGGTGCCCCCTGGGTGTGGGCTGCACTTCTGCCATGCTCAAAGGGAGGAGAGAGCCCCCCCGGGGCACCTAGGAGGCCATGATAACAGTCATGAGAACCCTGGACTGTGTCACATTCACATGACACCTCACAGTCCACAAAGCCCATTTGCAGACACTGTCTCCATGAAGCTTCTGGAAGGCTGGGAAGTGGTGTCTGCAACAGGCAGCCCTGATCAGTGGCTGAGGGCACAGGCTTTGGCATTAGATGGTCTAGGTGTGGGTCCCTGCTCCGTCATGTGCTGGCTGTGTGACCTTAGTCAAGCCACTTCACCTCTCTATGACGTGGTTTCCTCATCTGTGAAATGCACCTCGTAATGGTACTTCCTATGGTTGGGTTTGTACGTGCTTGGCGCAGGGCCTGGCCATAGTACGTGCCTCGTAAGTGACAACCTTTAGCATCATCATCATCATCATCATCATCATCATCTTCATCCCCAGGGGACAGATGAGGAAGTGGAAACTCAGGATGTGCTTGAGGTCACATGGGAGGAGGCAGCTGGGCAGAGTGGGGCACCTGTGGACTGAGGTGTCTGACAGACCTAGATTTACACCCTCCTCTGCCACTTAAGAGCTGGGTGACCGGGGACAGGTAACTCCCATGATCATCTTGATTCCCTCTTTTATAACCTGGTTATATTCATATCTACCTGTAGGGGGTTGAATTGTGTCCCCCAAAAAGATATGTCCAAGTCCTAGCCACAGGCTAGGAATGAATGTGACCTCACTTGGAAGAAAGGTCCTTGCAGACGTAGTCAAGTGAAGGATGTTGAGATGAGAGCATCCTGGATAAGCCAGGTGGACCCTAAACCCAATGACAAGTGTCCTTAGAAGAGAAAAGCAGAAGGAGACTGGACACAGGCAGAAGAGAAGACACAGACAGAAAAGGTGATGTGAAGACAGTGGCAGAGATTGGTGTGATGCTGCCACAAGCCAAGGAACACCAGGAGCCACCAGAAGCTGAAAGAGGCAGGGAAGCTCCCCCCTAGACCTCTCGAAGGAGCGCAGCCCTGCTGACACCTTGCTTTCAGACTTCTGGCCTTCAAAGCTGTGAGAGAATAAATTTCTGTTGCTTCAAGCCACTAAGTTTGTGGCAATTTGTTACGGCAGCCCTATTGTTGCCGTCGAATCAGTCCCAACTCATGGTGACCCCATGCACAACAGAATGAAACACTGCCTAGTCCCACGCCATCCCATGATCCGTTGGGGATCGGATCATTTTCATCTTCATTGATTGATTTTCAGAAGTAGATCACCAGAACTTTCTTCTTAGTCAGTCTTAGTCTGGAAGCGCCTCTGAAATCTGTTCAGCATCATAGCAACACACAAGCCTCCACTGACAGATGGGTAGTGGCTGCACATGAGGTGACTGGCTGGAAACTGAACCTGGGTCTCCCGCTACCACTGAACCACCACTGCCCTCTAGGAAATGAATATACTACCTCACATAGTAAGGGCTTAGGGGCTGTGGGTCCCCTTCCCTCAGCATCTGGGGCTGGGAGAGAGGGCAGGAAGAAAAGAAGGGGGGCATGAGGGGAAGCCCAGAGTTCGGCCTCCCTCATGTGCCTGCTGTCTCCTGGCCCAGTCAAAATCCCAGCCACAGGGACACGCAGTGGCCCCGGCTGGGGACAGGGAGTTGGGAGCACTGGCAGGCACCAACCTCCTCAGGCAGCTGAGCTAGTTTGGGGCCTTTCAGCCTCTGAAGGCAGTGTTTGTCTCCTTTTTTGTAAGCCCCCCAGTGTATGCCCCTTGCTTTACAGAGAGGAGATTGTTTGGGGCATTAAATGAAACTCTTCTCTCCGGCACCTCCTCCTCTGGATTCCTCCCTCTGCCTTCTCGCAGCCGCAGGCTCTGGGATGAAGTTGCTTGTGTGCTTCTGAAACGTGCCCTTGAGCTATGCCAGCCAGAAAAGGCCCGGTCAGGTGCCCTGATGCTCTTTTCTGCCGATGGGATGGAGGGGCTGGGCCCACGGGGACAAAATCCAGGGAGCTGATGCCTTTAAGGTCACTGAGGACCTGGCCTGGCTCGGAGCATCCACCCTGCCCAGGTCAGTCATGTGAGCACCTGTTCTTTCCCACATAGGCTCATTCCTTAGTACTGGATATGCAAACGCTGACTGGGTTCGCCTTGGACAGTGATGCAGGTCAGGCACTGCACAAAGCACATGGCTGAGGGATGAGTAGGGGCTGAAGTCCAGCCCAAGCCGTGCTTCTGAATCAAGCCCTGGTGTAAAAATTATGTGGCGGGGACATCTGACCTACTCTAACTTCACAAGGGGGAAGAAGAATCAAGAGCAACAGCCCAAGGCTGATTCCTATGAGGCAGAGTTCAGGCATACCTCCACCCTCCAACCCTTTTACCATTTCTGACACCAGCCGTCTCTCTCACGGCACTTTCTACTCCTCTGCTAGGTTTGATAATTCATGGCAATGGCCACACAGAACTCACAGACCATACTCACAGTTATGGGGTTTATTTGGGAAGTAACAGGTTACAATTCAGGATCAGGAATGAGGCAGGATATAGTTAGGCAGGCCTCTCTCTGGTCCTCCGCCCCTCTGCCCCTCGGCCTGGCCTTTGCCCTGCTTGGGCAAGTGTTACAAAGCTCTTTAGCTTCACCAATAAATGCTCGGGGGCAGCCCATTCTGCCCGAAGGTGCTCAGCTCTCTCACTCCATAGGTCTCGCTTCACTGATAAGTGCCTGGAGGCAGGGGCTGTCTTAGGCTCCGTTCTCCCTGTGAAAGCATTCCTTCCCATCTATGTCATTGCTTAAGAGGTAGAGTGCCCTTACCCCCGGCTTGCCCAGAGTCTGAGTTCGGGGGGCTTACTGTGTATTGTTGTTAGATGCCGTTGAGTCAGCACTGACTCACTCCTATGTACAACAGAACGGAACACTGCCCCGTCCTGCGCCACACTCACAATTATTGCTATGTTTGAACCCATTGTTGCAGCCACTGTGTCAATCCATCTGGTTGAGGGTCTTCCTCTTTTTCACTGACCCTCTGCTTTACCAAGCATAGGGTCCTTCTCCAAGGACTGGTCCCTCCTAATAACATGTTCAAAGTCAGGGAGGATTAACCAGTTAGCAAACCAGTACAAACAGGCTTACAGTGAGCAAGGTACACATAGGCTTAATTGCAGCCTATGGTTAAATTGTGCACTAAAGATTAGTAAATCAGCACAAGCAAGCCCATGCGTACCTTCCTTACTGGGTAATCCATCCCTGCCTGGAGGCACTCAACTCACCAGGAAGCTTCCTGTCCGAAAGCGCTCAACTTTCTTGGTCCGTGGGTTGGCACACCCACTGTAACCACCTTGCTCCTGGGGTCGAGAAGCCTACCGCACTGTCTTGTGCCAGTCTCCTGGTTCTGCTGCTGCTGCTTCTCATCATCTGGCACCATCTCCAGTGTTATGGCTCTGTCTCTGTCTCCTAGGTCTAGGAGGTTCTCAGTGCATGGACCCTGGGTCCAAACGACATGCTGTGCTTTGACCTCTTTTTCTTGGTGTTAGTGAGATTCCCCCTTTCCACCTCTGGGTTGCTCATTTTAAGCCTAGCAGGATGGCAAAACCGACCAATCCCCTTGTTAGGGTTCCGAACACCTTATTTGCATGGTCCCACCCTCACAGGGTTGCATGAACCTTATTTGCATTATCAGTAAGCTGTCCAATTCCATTGGTGGGCCACAAATGCCTTATCTACATAGTCCCACCCAACCATTTGACGGGAGTTACAAGACCATTGCTAGAAAGGCCATATAAATGTGATCCATTGTACCGCAGGCCACTCCCTGGCTTTTCTAGCCATGGTTCTTTCATACCTGGAGGATAACTTTCCCCTCCCAATAATTTTACCAGTCCAAAACAGTCATTAGCAATTAGTCCTTCAGTAGGGCAAAGAGTCCTCAAGGTGAGGTTACTCAGGTAGCAGCCATTCAGGTCTGCTGCAGGTATCCATCTGATCTGGTCAGGTTCTCCAAAAGTCATCTTGGCTTCACCTTTTCTGGTGTCTGATAAACTTTAACTCAGAGATTATTCCCTTGCTCTGAGCCTCATGTGGTATCAGCATAGCAAAATCTTTAAGGGACTTTAGGTTCAGCCACTGTACTCCAGTCCAGCAGTGCCTCCCCCTTAGTCTATCTTTCACACTTAAGTCTTTTACAATTACAGTTTTTACAATCACAATCAATCCCGTTAACAACCAACACTCATAACTGAATCATATAATCCTATCAGCATTTTCTCCCACCCTCTCTTCCCCAGACCGATCAGGAAAAGAGGAATCTATTCACTGGAGATTCTCCCTTGTCCCCCTCATTTTGAGTGTAAGTACACTCATTAAAGCACATAAGCCAGCCACATCATGCCTTTATCTCTCCGTTTTAGATAGTCAGTGTTTAAATTGTCTGTCCCTATCAAACCAGTACTCTGAGGAGACAAGCATGTTCCTTTGTCTGAAGAATATTCTGTTCTTGTTGGAATTTTGAGCATCTGCATTTATAAGCAAAGTCCAGTCCAGAGCAAGCCATCAAATTGCAGCAATTTACACCAGCTCATGGTGTCAAACATCTCTCTCTCTCTCTCTCTTAATTCAGTCGGGTTCTGGTCAGCTCATCCTTAGCCCTCATGGGCTAGATCAACGGGTGCCAGCTGTGGGCTTGGGATTCCACACACCTCCCTGCCCTTCAGACCAGCCAGCCCCTTCTCTCTCTCTCTCTCTCTCTGTCTCATCCCTAGCCCCCATGGGCAAGGTCAGTGGGCACCACCTGTAGGCTCAGGAGTCCACACAACTCCCTGCACTTCAGACCAGTTAGCCGTTTCTCTCTCTCTCTCATCCTTAGCCTCCATGGATTAGGTCAGCAGGTGCCAATGTCCAAATTCAGCCCATCTCTTCATCACTGCACCTTCCCCACATCCACTCATCTTGTGGCCCCAGGTGGTCACTTCAAGTGAGCGTACCAGGCTGTCTACTCTGGCTCCCTTTAACTTCCAGTCCTGGAAGGGGGTTCTTCTGTTGGGCACTGACTTCCTGCCTCAATGCACCCAATGACAAGCAAAAGCCATTTTTTTTTCCTATAGGTCTTTTCTTCAAATGCAAATTTCTTGCTCTCTCAACAGTTATGGGTGGTTCTGCCTGTCTTTTCAAATGCAAATTTCCTGACTGGGAAGCTCCTGGGTGGGGCTCAGGTTTTCAACCTAAGCCTCCAATACTCCATACACAGGGCTACTGCATTCAAAAGAACAAATAGGGTAAATCCTAGTTCCTCTTTTAGCATAGCCAATCAAGTATTGGCTGAAGGTGGAGTTACATGCCCTCTGTAATCTATAATACCCAATATTCATTTTCACCATACATTTACGTCTGTTATACAACACTAAAACAAAAACTCACTGCTGTCAAGTGGATTCTGACTCATAGTGACCTTATAGGTCAGAGTAGAACTGCCCCATAGGGTTTTTCTCTCTCTCTGTCTCCTGGGTCTAGGAGCTTCTCAGCAGACAGCCCCTGGGTCCAAAGGATGTGCTCCGCTCCCATCTCTTCTTCTTGGTGGTAGTGAGGTTCCCCCTTTCTGCCTCGGGGATGACTTATTTTAAGCCTAGTGGAATGGTTAAACCGACCAATACACTCATTAGGGTTTCATACCTCTTATTTGCATGGTCTTATCCCTGCAGGGTTCCATGCACCTTATTTGCATTATTAGCAAGCTGTCCAATCCCCTTGGTGAGCCACAAGCACCTTATTTGCACAGTCCCACCCAATCATTTGGTGGGAGTTACAAGATCATTGCTAGAAAGGCCATATAAAAGCGATCCATCACAATGCACCTGGTGAGGATCTGTGTCTGCCTGGAGGACGGGCACCTCCTTCTAACTTACCCTGAGGCACACCATGGGCTTACAGAAGCCCCGACACTAGCACTCTGTACAGACATAATCCAACAATCTGGAAATGTGGAGCCTGGAAAAGGGTGCCAAGTCCAGGGCAAGGTGGACGTGACCCCCTGGGGAGAGATATGGCAGGTAGGGTGTGGGACAGTGACCCCTCAAATCCTGGCCTTCACAAGGGATGGGCCCCAACTGGCCATGGACCTGCAAACCAGCAGGGGCATTGGCAAGAGGCCCTGCAACAGCAACATAACTCTGAACGGAAGCCAAAACGTCTGGTGCGCCATGCCCAGAACACTGAGCTGTGTGTGAACAGGCTCTCCCACAGGCAGAGGCACTGTGGAACCTTTTGTTACCTTCTCTGACACACCTGCTCTCCACTAGACTGTCAGCTGCAGGAGGGCATTGCTCTTTGTGTGTTTGTTCACTTTTATATCTCAAGTGCTTGATACAGCGCCTGGCACCTAGCAGGCCCACAATACATTTTTAAGTGAGTAAATAGACGAATTCCCAGGACCCTTCACCTCCCGCAAACATCAGCCCCCTAGTGGCCCCTCTGCATATTTTTTGGGATCAGCAGTCTGGACATAGGCCAGAGGACTGAATATTGGGAAGCAGGGTGGCCTGGGAAACACAGGTGGGTGGCTGTGGTGACCATGACCTTGTTCTGCCCTGCAAAGCAGCTCACTCCTCTGTGGTCCAAGGCCACAGGTCCCTGCACCTGGATGTAAAGGACCATCAGACACAAGCACAACTCGGTCCCAGGGTCAAACATCCCTTTTCTTGTAGCTGCTGAGTCGAAATACAGCCCCCTATCAGGGGGTTAGCTCTGCCCATCCTCCAACTCTAGCAGCAGCTGGAGATCACAGTCCCCAAAGTTGTCAGTCTTCTCTTCTTGGGCATCTCTAAGCTTGTTAATGAACTCGCCTGGTCTCCCCATAGCGTACACTTAAAGAGAACATTTCCTTCCGAAATGAGCTTTAATTGCTGTTGTGCTGTTACCACATTTTATTTGGGAAAAGCACTTCTGTGGCCCTGCCAGCTAGCCCACCCTCCTGGATGCTGCTGATTTGAGGCTGAGCAGGAGCAGGAGCTTGGCTGGTGGGCTACACGTGCTCCAGGTGCTCCACCTTTCTCCACCCTGCTCTTGTCCAGAGGCTGACCTTCAGGGACAATGCGTCAGGCTCCCTTCACTCTGGCATGTGGTTGGGTGCAGTGATGGGAGGCCCTGGCAGGAGCCTGGTGGGCAGGAGGAGAGTGCAGACAAGGGAGTTATTCCTGGGCTTCCTTCCTGCTGGACTGCAGGACAAATGGCTGCAGTTCTTCGCTAACGGCCTTAGCTCTTGCTCCTTACTGCTCCCGTCTTCAGGGTTCCCAGACCTGCCTCCTTCATCGGTTCACACCTAGGAGTGGTAAGGGCTCCCTGCTGTTGTTAGCCCTGGCGTGCTGCATCAGCCTTTTTGGGTTTCCTTAATCTTGTCAATGCCTTTTGTAAATAGTCTTTAATGAAACACCTGCCATTCACCCCGTTTGAGTGTGTCATCTGCTTCCTGCTGGGACCTCAGGATGCCATACTGGCTGAGCTTTGGGCTGATGGATCAGGAGGCCAATCTGGAAAGAGCTCTCAGAGCCCTGGTGACCATGGGGGGACAGGGCCAGGTGAGTAAAGAGCAATGTTGTTGTTGTTAGCTGCTGCTGAGTCAACCCCATGCACACTGGAATGAAACGCTGCCTGGTCCTGCACCATGACTGGTTGTGGATCAGACCGTTGTGATCCACAGAGTTTTCACTGGCTGATTTTTGGAAGTAGATGGCCAGGCTTTTCTTCCTAGTCCATCTTAGTTTGGAAGCTCCGCTGATACCTGTTCAGCATTCATAGCAACATGCAAACCTCCACTGGCAGGTGACAGGTGATGGCTGTGCCTGAGGCACATTAGCTGGGAATTGAACCCTGGTCTCCCGTATGGGAGGTGAGAATTCTTCCGCTGAACCACCAATGCCAGAGGACTAGCCAGCGCCAATGCCCATAACCTCAGGCAAGTTCAAGTGGAAAGTGGAGAGGGAAGTGTCTCCTGAAGGTCCAGGCACCTCTTTCCTCACAGTCCCGGAGGTGATCATGAGGCAAATCTGCCTCTAGAACCTTAAGAATTACCTGATGGCCTGGGGCTGGGAAGAGAAGGGCAGGTTTTAAGTTAGAGTTAATTTTTGATTGAGCTCTCCCATCGGGCTGAGCACCAACGGCTGCCGCAGACAGCTGTGCAGCCAGGTGTCGTATAACTTGAAGGGCGACACTCATGCCATAGTCTCTGCAAGTGGCATCCCTCGAGCTGTGCAGTGTGCAACCTGCGCAACCATCTGTGGCGGCCCTATGGGAATGTCATTACTTGGTTCCCTGTGGGCCTCCAGCAAGCAGAAAGAGAAGACAGGCAGGCGGAAGAGACGGTGATGATGGGGCAGTGAGGGGAGGCAGCGTTCTGACCAAATTATTTTAGGTTCTGGGCCTGGCAGAGCAGCCTGACACTGCCCCCTGGTTCCATGGGAACAGCCTGCTGTTCTCTTTCACTCGATGACTCAGAATCAAAAGCCTTTCTCTTAGAAAAACTGATCCATGAGCAGGTGCAGAGTGAACGGTGCTCCTTCTGAGGGCGCTAGTATCGATTCTCCATAAATGAAGCCGGGCCGTGCCCCCGCGGGTGCTGCTGTGAGCAGCTCTGCAGGTGTCGCGGCTAATGTGGAAGAGGAAAATGACTTCGCAATGCTGCTGCCTTTTCCATTTCCAGGCTACTGCCCTGGCTGCGGCTCCATCTCCCTCGCAGGGAGGAGATGTGCATTCAGGGCGTGGGGCCAGCCTTGTCTTTTGGGGCTCAGCATATACTGGGCTCCAGCCTAGGGCGTGCGGCCCAGGCACAGGACCCAGGTAGGGCCAGGGGCTCGAGTGGTAGCCTATAGGCAGAGGAGGTGGCTCCATCATCTGGTGCTGAAGACACGTGCGGCCCGCCCACCAGAAGTTGCCCCTGCCACCTTCCTCACCTTCTCCCACAGGCCACCAGGAGGCCTCCCGGAAGCAGTGCGCTTTGTAGATAGCCTAAATTTTCAAGAAAAGAATGCTGAGGGCGTGGGGTAGTGGAAAGGCGGGTAGGTCTAGTCCCGGCAGAACAAACTACTTGGGGTGCCATATCCCTCCAGGGATGCCCAGCCTGGGAGGGGCCTGTACTTCAACCTCCCTTGTCCCAGCTCCAGCCAATCAGCTCCTCTGAAGCTAGCCGCGCCCACACCAGCATCCTCTCTGCCCGGGCCAGCCAATAAGCTTCTCTGAAGCTAGCCACGCTCACACCTGCAGACTCTCTTCCCAGGCCTTACTCTACCCAGCAGCGGGGCGCAGGCTTATCAGCCCAGGTCACCCACCAGTTACGGTAAAACTGAACAAAACTCCGTCCTCTCAACTAACCATGTCGGAATCCGAGAGAGAGTGACAGCAGCATCCAGAACAAAGCACTCCCTCCACACCCACAGGCCCGTCTTTCCTCCAGCTACCGGACCTGCCACAGGCTCCCCTCTGCGCAAAGGCAGCGAAGGGTTCTTGATACTCACGAAGGAGGTACTCGGAGCTGTCATGGTCGTAATCATTGTCCTCGGGGAAGTGATTGATCCGGAAGCAGTGCCCTTTATAGATCCCTGGAAGGAACAACAGGAAGAGAATGTTGTAAATATTCTATGGGTTCACTCATCCATTCATTCCAGACAGGCTTACTGTGGGTGCCAGCCTCCAGACAGGCCCTGGGGACAGAGAGAGAAGACAGGCCTGCCCAGAGATCCCAGACTGGTGGGCACAGGCTTATACACAGAGTACAGCTACACGTGTGAGAAGTGCCCCAGGCGCAGACGGAAGGCTCCCTCAGCCTGGGGGAGTCAGGAAGTGGGCCCCAAAGGTGACTATTATGGGTTGATTCGTGTCCACAAAAAGATATGTTCAAGTCATAAACCTTGGTACTTGTGAATGCGACCTTGTTTGGAAGTAGTGTCTTTGCAGATGTTATTAAGTTAACATGCGGTCATACTGGAGTAGGGTGACCCTAATCCAACATGATTGGTGTCCTTATAAGAAGAGGAGAAGACACATAGACAGACACCTGAGAGAAAACGGTGTGTGAAGACAGTGGCGGAGACTGAAGTGGTGCTCCCACAAGCCAAGATAAGCCTAGGACCGCCAGAAGCTAGAAGAAGCAAGGAAGGATCCTCCCCAGCCCTCCCCGACCTTCCGAGAGGACATGGCCCTATCAGCAGCTTGATTTCAGACTTGCAACTTCTAGAACCGTGAGAGAATACATTTCTAATTTCTGTTGTTCTGAGTTGCCCAGTTGTGGTATTTGCTAGGGCCACCCTAGGAAACAGATACAGTGACCACATCATACGTGGTCCAAATCTCGACACCTGTGAGAGTGAACAGACCGCTTACTGGGACAAGAGGCATCAAGTAGAACTGTCTTGAGAAAGCAGGACAGATGATCCCCATACCCAAGGGGACCCTAGAGCCAGGTCTTGAGAAATGGCAAGGAATTTGCCCACTAGGAATGGGGCGAGGTAGGGGCTTCCAGGAAGAGAAGCACGACAAGCAAAGGCAGAGGTGGGGAAGGAGCCTGATGTGTTTGGGGAGCATGGGACGTTCAGTGTCGCTGGAGTTTAGTAGGATCTGTGTAAGGGTGAGGGCCTGGGGCTGAAGAGGTGGCAGGAGGCCGTATCAGGAGGGGCTGTAGGTCATAGGTATGTCATGATAAATCTGCCCCTGTGGTGTCTGTCTTCTGTCTCTTTCCTTCTTTCTCAAACACACAGTTATGTGAATCCCTCCTAAGGTACACCCCGAATCCACACATTGTCGGCAACATGATCCCAATCCTTCATTCAGTGTGATCAAAGGAAGAGGACACAGGGCAAGAGACACTTCCAGAAAGGCTGAGTCCATATCCTGACTGGTTTCCCCTCTCTACCCTGTTAAGTAGCCTTCACAGGGTGGGAGGCATGACCCATCCTTCCTTCCAGAATCTTCCATCTAGCCCTCCTAGCCCCTGCTCCCCTGGAGTCTGGGAATGCCCATCATAAAACCGGACACAGGCAGAGAAGGGGGTGCACAGGGTGTCATGCCTTGCCTGCTGGCCCCACATTCCCTGGTCAGCCTCCCCATTCCTGCAGATGGACAGCAAGGAGCTCATCTTGACATCCACATGGCCCGGCTGCAGCTTTTTCCAACCAGGGCCAATCTTTTTCTGTCACTGCTGCCCAGCATCCTGCTGGCCTCCAGCAGCCCTGCTGGCCATGCCTGACCTCACTGTCGGGAGCACAATCTCGGAAGCATCCCCTTCTCGGTACTTCCAGTTGGGAGAGGCCCTCTAATGAGCATGGAGCATGCTGCTCTGTCACCCCGGTTACCAATTAGCTGCTTTACCAGCTGGCTTCCCCAAACCTTCCACTCTGTCTAGCTTCTTTAGCCGCTGCCTCCAAAGAGCTGGGATGCTCAGTAAGGACCCCTCCTTCCTGAAAGCCCACGGGTCTGGGGGGCCGGCTGTAGATGGGCTGGCCTTGGTCAGGGATGGTGGGGAGGCAGAGTGGGGTCTCAGAGGTGATGTCTTGAGGTGGATGACACTTCAACCATGTTGTCTGTGGGGCATGGAACATGAACAAGTTTGCTAACCCCCTTAGTCTCCTCATCTGTAGAATGGGGTTAACCACAGCCCTTATCTCTTTGGATCTTAGGAGGGTTACATGAGATCACACTTGAAATGCACTTGGGATAAGTCTTGGCCCATGGCGATGGCTCAGGGGAGATTCGCTGCTCTTGGACCCTGAAATAGCCTGCTGTCTTCTCTGTGTGTCCTTGATCTTTCGTGAGCACGTGTTTGTGAGTGAGAGGAAAGGGCCCCATGGAAGGCAGGTCTCAGGAGGGCTGGGGGTGGGGGGCCTCAGAGGCCTGGGCCCTGGAGGTGAACCCTCCCTGAACTCCCTGAGCAGCTGCCCCAGGGGACATGGGGATATGCTCCCAGAGATAAGAGGCCTCCCGGCAGGCCACATACCCCTGCTGCCAGAGTGGGCAGGCTGCATCCTCCCCTCACTCTTGGCTCCCACAGCGCAAATTCAGAATGCTCATGGAGATAGAAAATGAGGGTCTTTCGAGACGCAGGGATGGTCAGCCAGAGCTCTCTGCTGTTCCTTCCACCCCCACCGCCACAGTTTTTTTGGCAATTTTTTGGGTCCAAACAACATCACCAAGTCATACATGCTTGTTGGAACAAGTCAAACGGTAACAGGTAGAAAAAGAAATAAATCATCTCTCTCTTCAGACTCGTCCCCTGGAAGAACTAAGGTGAACAATCTGCAGGGTGGGATTCCCCCCTGGTTTTTTTTTTGTTGTTGTTGTTTGTTTAATTAAACCGTTCATTTGAGGTAATTGTAGATTTGCAGGCAGTTGTGAGGCATGATCCTGAGACACTTGTGTAACTGTTATCCAGTTTCACCAATAGTGACATTTTGCAAAACAGTAGTATAACATCACAACCAGGATACTGAGGTTGGTAGAGTCAGAAGAACAGACCAGGAAGACCCGTTGCCATCAAGTTGTTTCTGACTCATAGACAGAATATTTCCATCACCACAAGGATCCCCCATGTTGCTCTTTTAGTCATCTAGGGCTGCTCTAACAGAAATACCACAAGTGGATGGCTTTAACAAAGAGAAGTTTATTCTCTCACAGTCCAGTCGGCTACAACTCCAAATTCAGGGCTTCAGCTCCAGGGGAAGGCTTTCTGCATCGGCTCTGGAGGAAGGTCCGTGTCATCAATTCTTCCCTTGGTCTGGGAGCTTCTCTGCGCAGGAACCTCAGGTCCAAAGGACACGCTTTGCTCCTGGCACTGCTTTCTTGGTGGTATGAGGTTCCCCTGTGTCTCTGCTCACTTCTCTCTTTTATATCTCAAAAGAGATTGGATTAAGACACTATCTAATCTTGTAAACCTCATCAGTATAACCTCATCACTGTGATAAAATTTACAACACATAAGGAGATCACATATAACCTCATCATAGTGATAAGAGTTTACAACACATAAAAAAATCACATCAGATTACACAATCATACAATACTGGTAATCATGACCCAGCGAAGATGACAGATATTTTTGGGGGACACAGTTCAATCCATGACACCCATGTTGCTCTTTTATAGCCACAGCCCACGCCCCCCACCTCCCTTGACTAGTGGCAACCACAAGAGGGAGATTAGCACCTGTGATAGGTTGGATTGTGTTCCCCCAAAAAGATATGTTGAAGCCCTAACCCCTGGTACCTGTGAACGTGACCTTGTTTGGAATAAGGGTCTTTGAAGATGCTGTTAGTTAACATGGAGTCACAGTGGGATAGAGTGAGTCTTATGCATTGTGAGTGGTGCCCTTACAAAAGGAGAAGAGGCGCAGAGACAGATTCAGAGGGAAGACGGCCATGTGAAGATACAGACAGAGCCTGGAGTGATCCAGTGGCACCAAGGATTGTTGGCTGCCACCAAAAGGTAGGAGAGAGGCATGGAACAGATTCTCCCTCAGAGCCCTCAGAACGAATCGCCACGGGCCACACCCTCACTTCAGACTTCCACTCTCCAGAACTGTGAGAGAATAAATTTCTGTCGTGACAGCCAACTAATACAGCACGTGTTTGAGGTTCTGGATAATCAGAAATGAAAACACAGATGACTACAGAGACACCAAAAAAACCCATTGCCGTCGAGTTGATTACGACTTATAGCGACCCTATAGGACAGAGTACAACTGCCCCATAGAGTTTCCAAGGAGTGCCTGGTGGATTCACACTGCTGACCTTTTGGTTAACAGACATAGCTCTTAACCACTATGCCACCAGGGTTTCCACTAAAGAGAGAGATGGAGCTAAACGCCTTCAAACATTTGAAAGGTGAGTCCCGGGGGTATCCTGTTCTGCTTACTGATGTCTGGGCCTTGCTGCCTTCCTGCCTGAGTCTCTCCCGGATCCTTGAACAGGGAATGACTCTTCCACTTGTTCATCCCCCACCAGGCTTGTCACCAAGGGTGGCTCTGTCAATGCTGGTGGCCTTGACTCAATGTGTCAGATGGCTGATGGGTGAGGGTGACCTTCTGTGGCCCTTAAGTAGCCCTGGTGGAAATACAACCTTGACTTTGGCATTGTTCTCTAAACTCCCGGTTGGCCCAGAGGCCAGGTCTGTTCGGATCTGTTTTGACTTCCAGATTGGCTTTCTTGGAGATGGAAGCAGTGTGGAGTGTGGAAATCCAGGTCTCTCGGCTTGTCTGGCGGCGGGGGGGAAAGGCCAGCCTCTCAACCAGAGACTCCCATGCATTTCTTTGGGGCTGTGTGCACACACTGTGGATCCTGTCATATAGAATTATGCTCAAGGATACAGTGAATGCAGGCACTCAGCAGTAGCTCTCCTACTAATTGGCTTCCTCCCTTTCCTTCCCTCCCTCTCCTTCTACCAACACTGAGCTCTGCATGGATGGAAGGACTGGGCGTATTGCTGTGTGAGAAGAAACACAACATCCTCTGCTGGCAACGTCACCTACTCTGCTGAACAAGTCTGGGTGATAACAGTTACCCTCAATGGACTTCCTACTCACTGTTGAGTCCAGCCTTGTAGGAAGGGGACG